AGATAATTACATAGAATGGAGGGGAAAGCAGCATCCAACCCCATTGTTTTGACAGGCGGTAGGGGAAGTGAGTAATGAGACAATATGTCATTTTGACAGCTGCCAACTCCTGACTCAAAACAATTATAAGCCACACACTCCCACACAAGACAAGCTTGCTGAATGGAGATAATAGCAGTTATATGAAAGTATCTAGTGACTATATATGTGTATATATATTATAGAAACCAGAAGCACGAAGGGAAGGCAGGAATGAAGGAAGGACAGATGAAGGAATGTAGGAAGAGAGGTAGGAAAGGAATGCAGGAAAGGAATGCAGGAAAGGAATGAAGGAAAGGAATGAAGGAAAGGAATGAAGGAAAGGAATGAAGGAAAGGAATGAAGGAAAGGAATGCAGGAAAGGAATGAAGGAAAGGAATGCAGGAAAGGAATGCAGGAAAGGAATGCAGGAAAGGAATGAAGGAAAGGAATGAAGGAAAGGAATGAAGGAAAGGAATGAAGGAAAGGAATGAAGGAAAGGAATGCAGGAAAGGAATGCAGGAAAGGAATGAAGGAAAGGAATGCAGGAAAGGAATGCAGGAAAGGAATGAAGGAAAGGAATGAAGGAAAGAAATGAAGGAAAGGAATGCAGGAAAGGAATGCAGGAAAGGAATGCAGGAAAGGAATGCAGGAAAGGAATGAAGGAAATGAATGCAGGAAAGGAATGCAGGAAAGGAATGAAGGAAAGGAATGAAGGAAAGAAATGCAGGAAAGGAATGAAGGAAAGGAATGAAGGAAAGAAATGCAGGAAAGGAATGAAGGAAAGGAATGAAAGAAAGGAATGAAGGAAAGGAATGAAGGAAAGGAATGCAGGAAAGGAATGCAGGAAAGGAATGCAGGAAAGGAATGCAGGAAAGGAATGAAGGAAAGGAATGCAGGAAAGGAATGAAGGAAAGGAATGCAGGAATGAATTAAAGGAATGCAGGAAAGGAATGCAGGAAAGGAATGCAGGAAAGGAATGAAGGAAAGGAATGCAGGAAAGGAATGAAGGAAAGGAATGCAGGAAAATAGGAAGGAAGAAATGATGACACACGACCATTTACCTAGGATAACTACATAACATAACTGCCTGCTAATACTTTGAAGAAAACTGCTCAGACGAGGTGTTTTGTCTTTGCACATAGAAAAAAAAAAAGTCCACAAAAATGCACACACACTGGTTTTATGTGTGAGGAGTGTAAAACACCATTGTGTATGACACCATGTTTCAAGGAGTTCCACAAGCTGCAAAACTTCTAGGAATATGTTCGGTGACTGTACATTGGTATATATATTATAGAACAATAGTAATGAACAATTTTTTGTATTGTTTTTGTAAACAAGTTTTGTAAACAATATATTGATAATTATGTTTGTGTGCTTATTGTGTTGTATACAATGAGTGTACATATGTACATTGCACCTTACTTTGGTCTCATAGGCCACATAAGTTATGTGAAAAAAAAAATAGTGAAAAAAAAAAAAAAAACTTCAAATACAAGTAAACTAAAGTTTACCAGGTGAGCGACAGTCGCCGCTGTTGCCATAAGCGGCTCATTTTCTGCAAACTTCACAGCTCTATATCTCGGTAAGTACTGATGGCAAAAAAATTTTTTTTGGACTAAAACACTCAGAAAAATAATCTTAACATTTTCATAAGAAAAAATAAAAAAAATTTTTCGAATATTTTGCGACATAGAATGACAGTTTCAGAAAGGGGCCTGAGACAGTCAAAGGGTTAAATAATTTTTTTTTTTTTCAAAATATTCAGAGCACTAGGCAAGTGAACATAGATCTATCTACGTTTGGACAGTTTAACCCTTAAACTGTCCAAACGTAGATCTACGTTTTTTCAACATTTGAAAGTACGTAAAAAACGTAACCTTTTTTTTTTTTTTGCATTTGAAAACGTGTAAAAAACTTGGTTCTACTTTTTTGTTGTTATATTTGAAAATATATAAAAAAACATAGATCTACTTTTGGAGCACTACGCATGTGAACGTAGATCTGTTTGGATAGTTTAAGGGTTAAGGGTTAAGCACGTGTTATATTAACATTTAAAAAGCATATGCAACTTTTTCACCAATGCCAATACAGTGGACCCCCGACCAACGGCGGCATCAAGTAACACTAAATTCGTCTGATGGCGCTCTTTGGCGTAAAAAAAATCGCTCTACCAAGGGCAAAAAACTCATCTAAAGGCGTTCGTCCCGAACATGTCCATGCGACCGGAGCACAGCCTGAGCGGGCCCAGCCACTCCAAGACTCGGTGTGCCATGTTTACAAGCCGTTGCGGTCAATTCCACGTGTACCTGTAATATATTTTGTATTATTCCAGTGTTTTTAGTGCTTGTAACTGCTAAATAAGCCACCATGGGCCCCAAGAAAGCTTCTAGTGCCAAGCCTGTGGTAAAAAAGGGTGAGAATTATGATGAAAATGAAGAGATCATTGAAAAATATGAAAGTGGAGTGCCTATGTCCGAGTTGGAAAGGCTATACAACAAACCCCGTTCAACCATCAGTACTATCTTGGTGAACAGAAAGGCAATCAAAGAAGCTGTTGTTGCAAAAGGTGCAAGTATGTTTTCAAAACGGAGACAGCAAATAATTGAAGAGGTAGAGATAAACGAAAAACAATTATCAGGAGACAGTGTATCTCAGTCAATAATATGTGAAAAGGCAAGGAAGTTGCATGAAGATTTTAAGAAAATGCCTCAAAATAGTGATGATACTGATAAATTTAATGCCAGCAAAGGCTGGTTTGAGAGATTTAAGAATTGTAGTGGCATACACAGTGTGGTAAGGCATGGTGAGGCTGCCAGTTCAGACAAAAAAGCAGCTGAAAAATATGTGAAGGACTTTAAGGAATACATAGACACTGAAAACTTAAAACCTGAATGTGTTTAATTGTGACGAAACAGGCCTGTTTTGGAAAAAATGCCAAACAGGACCGACATTACTCAGGAGGAAAAGGCACTCCCAAGACATAAGCCTATATGAAAGACAGGCTGACATTAATGTTGTGTAGTAATGCTAGTGGTGATTGCAAAGTGAAGCCTTTATTGGTGTATCACTCTGAAACTCCCAGTGTGTTCAGGAAAAACAATATTGTCCAGGGTAATTTGTGTGTGCTGTGGAAATCAAACACTAAGGCATGGCTCACTAGGGAACTTTTCATGGACTGGTTTTATGGTATGTTTGGCTCCACTGTGAAAAATTACCTCCAGGAAAAGAAATTGTCACTCAAGTGCCTTCTGGTATTAGACAATGCTCCTGCTTATCCTCACAACTTGCAAGAGCAAATTGCAGGGGAGTTTAGCTTCGTTAAAGTGAAGTTTTTCCTCCTAATACAATTCCTCTCCTCCAGCCTATGGTCCAGCAGGTCATTTCAAACTTCAAAAAACTCTACACCAAAGCAGTGTTTCAAAAGTGCTTTGAAGTGACCTCAGACACTCAATTGACCCTAAGAGAGTTTTGGAAAGATCACTTCAATATCCTCAGTTGCATAAACCTTATAGGTAAGGCTTGGGAGGGAGTGACTACCAGGACTGTGAACTCTGCTTGGAGGAAACTGTGGCCACAATGTGATCAAGAGAAGGATTTTGAAGGGTTTGGGGCTAACCCTCAGGAGCCTATGCCAGTAGTGGAAGTTATTGTGTCATTGGGGAAGTCCTTGGGGTTGGAGGTTTGTGGCGAGGATGTGGAAGAGTTGGTGCAGAATGATGAGGAAGAACCAACCACTGCAGACCTGCAAGAGCTTCAGGTGTAAAAGCAACAGATCACATCTCAGGAATGTTTTTCAGAGCAGGAGGAAGAGAGACGGAGGAAGATGCCTTTGTCAAGGATTAGGGAAATGTATACAATGTTTACAAAGGTGCAAGCATTTATCGATGAATTTTATCCTGTCACAGCTGTTGCAAGCCATATTGGTAACATGTACAATGACACTCTTGTATCCCATTTTAGGGAAATCCCAAGGGCACTTGAGAAACAGGGCTCTCTGGACAGATTTTTGGTGCAACAGCAGTCCAGTGACTCTCAAGCTGGTCCTAGTGGCATTAAAAAACCAAGAAGGGAGGTAACCCCACCAAAGGCCTTAGTACACATACCTGAAGTCTTTATGGAAGGAGATTCCCCTTCCAAACAATAAAAGACCTCAATCTCCCCTGCTGCTGGCACATCACTCATCAACAACTCCACAATAAAGGTAAGTGGCATTTAATTATTGTTTATTTTGCATGTCCCATTCGTTTTAGTGTAGGGAAATGTATATTTCATGCAAAATAAATTATTTTGTTTAATAATTTTGGGTGTCTGGAACAGATTAATTCTATTACTATTATTTCTTATGGGAAAAATTAAATTGACTAACGGCAAATTCGACTAAAGGCTAGCTCTCTGGAACGGATTAAAGCTGTTGGTCGAGGGTCCACCGTACCATAAAAATAGCTGATACCCACCAATACCAATACCTTGGCACACTCATAATTATCTTTTTTTTTTCAAGACATCGGCTGTCTCTGCAGAGGTGCCCAGATATGACAGTTTAGATGTCACTCCAAACAGCCAATATCTCAAACCACTCCTTTAAAGTGCAGGCATTGTACTTCCCACCTCCAGCACTTAAGTCTATCTAACCAGTTTCCCTGAATCTCTTCACAAAATATTACCCTGCTCACACTCCAACAGCTCATCAGGTCCCAAAAACCATTCTTCTCCATTCACTTCTACCTAACATGCTCACATGATGACCATATCCCACCAAGGCAGGATAACCGAAAATTGAAAAACCCATATGGCCATACAGCACCTGGGGAATTTGACTTGATCCAAGGAAGATGAAAGTAGCGGCAGTTGTCTGGATCAAGAACCCTTCATCAGCATTAAGACATCCCCCTTCAAGGGTAAATACTGTACATATTTATAAAAAAAATTCCTCAAAGTCTTGAAAAAAATCAGTTTCTACAGGAGAAAAAACATACCAGTTTTCCATTTGTATTTCCTCCATCAGAGCGATGATCTCTCTGAATCATAAGAACTTTGCCAGAAATATTGATGATGATACTCTGAGCAGGTATAGGTGTTTGCTGGTTACTGTGGAGCCGCCAGGATTCAGTTCGCAGACTAGTAAGCAAGACCGACACTACACACGCTGGGTGTACCGTCAGTCCAGATATATCAACCTCTTGCACACGTGACACCATCACATTGCCACCACCTACAAAATTAAATAAGTAAGTATTTTTTTTAACATGCCGGCCATCTCCCACCAAAGCAGGGCGGCCCCAAAAAAGAGAAACACTTTCACCATCATTCAACACTTTCACCTTCATTTACACATAATTACTGTCTTTGCAGAGGTGCCCAGATATAACAGTGCAGATGTCACTCCAAATAGTAAATATCCCAAACCCCTCCTTTAAAGTGCAGGCATTGTACTTCTCACCTCCAGAAGTCAAGTCTGGCTAACCAGTTTCTCTGAATCCTTTCACAAAATATTACATTGCTCACACTCCAACAGCTTGTCAAGTCACAAAAACCATTCGTCTCCATTCACTCCTACATAACACGCTCACACGTGATTGCTGTTATGTCCAAGCCAATTCCACACAAAACCTCTTATACCCCCTCCCTCTATCCTTTCCTAAGATGACCCCTACCCCTCCTCCCCTCTACTTCAGATTTATACATCCATCAAGCTATCTTATTTTGCTCCATCCTCCCTAAATGGCCAAACCACCTCAACAACCCCTCCTCAGGCCTCTAAATAATAATTTTACTAACATATTCTTTCATTCATAGAAAACTTCTGAAGGTGCACATGTACTGTACATGCATGTGCGCATGCATACAAGTACAGGCATAAGTGCATGTGAATACATGTAAGCTAGTTGAGTGTGATGTTAACTATTGCTGAATGGCACACAATTACTACAAGTCCGCCTAACTAAAATCAACAAATTTCTGAAAAAAAATTATATTATATGTATTTCTATATACTGTACCTTTCTGATATATCTTACAACTACACACATCAATTTCTAGGCATTTCCACTCAGTGGCATGTTGAAAACTGAGAAAAAAAGAAACAAGAGCCAAACAGATTCTGAAAGTGAACAATACTTAGTTAAAAGTAGGATGGAGTGAAGGAAAGAGAGAAGGGTGGGAGACAGGGTACTCAAAGTACTTATTGTAGAGGTGAATATACTTGAGAAGTTCTGTAAACTTTGCTTAATCCAATAAGAAAACTAAGGTGAATATACTTGAGAAGTTCTGTAAACTTTGCTTAATCCAATAAGAAAACTATTCATTAGGTAAACCTTTGTCATGCAAACACTTTTTTCCCAGTTACTGCAGTGTCATACTTCCATTATATAAATTAAGAAAACATTTAAGGGAAAATAATTAACAGTGAAACTTGAAGCAATAAGAATAATAAACCAGTAAACATACAAATAAATGAATAGTATAAAGGTACTAATATTTCTGTCACCCCACCAAGGCAGGGTGACAAAGAAAAAATAATGTGGTGTTTGATTACCATGGGATCTACAACTACAAAATTAAAAGAAACTCACATAGTAGCAGATGGCACAGCAGTGTGGTTTCTTTCATTTATAACTTACCCAGCAGGATTCAGTGACACATACAAACACATTGAGAGGGAGGAAGGATGAGAAAGTGAGCAAAAGAGCAAGAGAGAGAGGGAGGGGAAAATTAATGAGGGTAGGTAGTGACATCTAAATTGTTGTATCTGAGCACCTGTGCAAAGAGAAGTGATTATGTGTGAATGATGGCAAAAGTGTTGAATGTTGGTGAAAGCATTTCTTTCTTTTCTGGGTCACCCTGCCTTGGAGGGAGACAGCCAACGCGATAAAAAAAAAAAAAAAAGGTAGAGTACAGTACATGGCAAAAACAGCTAACAAGATTTTGTGCATATTACAAGAGCAAGAGCAGCTGCAGTTGTAGTGGCATCGACAAAGGCAGCAACACTGTTAGTGATAAGAGCATCAACAATGGCAGTACTGAGGTGGCATCAGAGTAAGCAGCAGCAGTGGTACAATGAGAAGTCCATTTGTCACAGGACAAACCACATCACAGGGTCTAATTCACAACAAATTTTAAGGAAAAATATTCCCACTATTTGGAGCAAGGGGCTAGTAACCCCTTCTTCTGTATACATTACTAAATTTAAAAAAGAGAAACTTCAGTTTTTTCTTTTGGGCCACCCTGCTTTGGTGGGATATGGCTGGTTTGTTGAAAGAAAGATTCCCACTATTTGGCCAAAAGTAGAGGGAAGGTGGGTGCATTTAGGTTTAATCCAGAGAAAGGGAGGTAAACTCTGATTCCTTGTATCAAGAACTCCTCATCATGATGAGGAATCCCCATGAAGGAAAAGACAGCTCAATTACACGAATTGATTAGTGTTGGCATTGGAAGTCTTAGATCCCAAAACTGTCTCTAAGAATTAGCACTACTGATTTCTAGCCTTTTGCATCTTATCTTGAAGTTGCATACTAAATTTGCCTCCACCACCTCTCATCTAATTAATTCTCTTCACTTTTCAACTAACCAAAACTAAAAAAGTACAATACTTCTTAATAGCCTTATGATATATCAGTTTGTGCAGCATCCACCAGCATTTCCTTAGCTCTGGCACTCTTAATTTAAGTAGTTCATCTTTATCTGCCTAGGGCTGTCTGAAAGATGGTAAGATAAGGAAAGTCTTGCAAAAAAAAAAAAAAAGGAAAAAAGGGACAAAAAAAGGGGGGGTAGGGATATAGGAATTAACATATGGAAAGTTTTCCTTATCCTAGCCCACTAATGCTCATTAAACATATAACATGAGAAAAGATATGGAGAAAGCTAAAAATGATTTATGAAATTTTTTTTCATATAAATCATCCAACATTTAGCAAGAGAGCTAATTAAAACACTCATTGTAGGGTGATGGAATGAGCTAACTAACACAATATCTCTGAATAAAAAGTTAATCAGAAGTTTCTTATCAAAAATATGTTCCATAAAAATCACAACAAAATCAGGTTTAAATAAAGATCATTGCAAACACTTTTATGACATGAGAAGTACTACAAAAATTTTTATCAGTCTCAAAATACATATGATGCCTTCTTTCCCTCAGAAACTCGCTTATTTGTAAAGTGGTCACATGTGCAACTTGCACAAATATTTAAAGTGCCTTCATCAAAATTCATTTCATTAAGAATCACATTAAACATCTAATAACAAAACTGAGCATGCTGGTTTAGCTTGAGCATGTTACAAAGAAAGCAGGTGGCACTTGCTTATCTTGAGACAGAAGTGTCATAAGAATAAGGACTGCCTCAAAAAGCATATTTAGCAAAACATATCATATCCGGTCGTCCAATGAACAATAACTTCAATACTTGTTTCCCTTTATTTTGTACTCACAATATCAATTTTACATCATTTTTTATGATTATGGTTCAAAACAGATGAATCAGTAGGGTGTATGTGGCCAGTGAAGGACAAATATGCATAGGAGATTATTGTAAAAGCTGCCTGTACTGGCTGCCATGTTCTTCTTTTTAGACATCCATATATTTAACACTGACATAAGTACTATGAGTGATGCTGTACTGTGCTCCCTACAAGTGATTTATTAAATTTTATGCTGCTACTGAATCTCTGGAATCTGTGTTGCAAAATGCTCAGAAAGCCAAGAATGCAGGAGATAAATAAGTGCTCTAACTATGGTATCAACAAATTACAACAAAAGCAAAGCCCTAAAAATCCTGCCAATAACAATTCCAAGGATTCTAAAGATGAAGTCCTTCACCAACTTTAAAGAAGGGTTTGAAGTACTGTATTTAGGACACATTAATTTAACAGAGTCCAGAAAGGCATTCACTCTCCTCCATAGGTCATTGGTACATATTTTCAAGACATTTATTATTAAAAACTCAAGTCATTGATTTTTTTTTTTTCAACAAGTCGGCCGTCTCCCACCGAGGCAGGGGTGACCCAAAAAGAAAGAAAATCCCCAAAAAGAAAATACTTTCATCAACATTCAACACTTTCACCTCACTCACACATAATCACTGTTTTTGCAGAGGTGCCCAGAATACAACAGTTTAGAAGTATATATGTATAAACATACACAATATATCCCTCCAAACTGCCAATATCCCAAACCCCTCCTTTAGAGTGCAGGCATTGTACAGTGGACCCCCGGTTAACGATATTTTTTCACTCCAGAAGTATGTTCAGGTGACAGTACTGACCGAATTTGTTCCCATAAGGAATATTGTAAAGTAGATTAGTCCATTTCAGACCCCCAAACATACACGTACAAACGCACTTACATAAATACACTTACATAATTGGTCGCATTCGGAGGTAATCGTTATGCGGGGGTCCACTGTACTTCCCATTTCCAGGACTCAAGTCCGGTTATATAAAATAACCGGTTTCCCTGAATCCCTTCACTAAATATTACCCTGCTCACACTCCAACAGATCGTCAGGTCCCAAATACCATTTGTCTCCATTCACTCCTATCTAACACACTCACGCACACTTGCTGGAAGTCCAAACCCCTCGCCCACAACACCTCCCTTAACCCCCCTCCAACCTTTTCGAGGACGACCCCTACCCCGCCTTCCTTCTCCTACAGATTTATATGCTCTCCATATCATTCTACTTTGATCCAATCTCTCTAAATGACCAAACCACCTCAACAAACCCTCTTCAGCCCTCTGACTAATACTCTTATTAACTCCACACCTTCTCCTAATTTCCACACTCCGAATTTTCTGCATAATATTTACACCACACATTGCCCTTAGACAGGACATCTCCAGTGCCTCCAACTGCCTCCTCGCTGCAGCATTTACAACCCAAGCTTCACACCCATATAAGAGTGTTGGTACTACTATACTTTCATACATTCCCTTCTTTGCCTCCATAGATAACATTTTTTGCCTCAACATATACCTCAATGCACCACTCACCTTTTTTCCTTCATCAATTCTATGATTAACCTCATCCTTCATAAATCCATCTGCTGACATGTCAACCCCCAAATTTCTGAAAATATTCACTTCTTCCATACTCCTCCTCCCCAATTTGATATCCAATTTTTCTTTATCTAAATCATTTGATACTCTCATTGCCTTACTCTTTGATGTCTTTATAAAAAGATATCAATGACATAAATTTCCTTCAACTGCTCAATCTTGTACCAGGCAGTCAAATATTGTTGTACAGTACTGTACAGCACTTAACTAAACCATACACTACTGTACTATACTATATTGCACAGTATTGTGTCTAACACTGTCATGCTTTATTACAGGGACCATGAAACATATTAATATGTCATTTGCATGTTGAGCCACTTATGTACCACTCCCACTGAGGATGTTTACTCTATGCTTGCTTGTTTGCTTGAAAAACACTAGATAGAAGAGCATGGTCCTCTCTGTCTAAAAACAAAAAATAACATTTTCTTTGTTTCACTTTTTTCAGGTTATCATCTGACAAAGAAACAAATTAGGAGACAGTTTCCTGTTTCCCAACCAACACAAAACCCCTCTCTAACACTGCACTTTTCTACCCTTCACCACTGCACACCACTACAACCACACTTCACCACTATCCACAACATGCAACAGTGACGGATGGTGGTGTGGGAGTTTTTGTTGATGAAGAAGGGAGGAAAAGGATGGTGGTACAGAGAAGGAATGGTGGAAATGTATGGTGGTAGAAACCTATATGACAGTGTTAGTACTACTATACTCTGGTATTTTTTTATTAATTTTATGTACCCTCTCGGACAAACTGTTCTGCTCCATCCTTTATAAATAACCCAACCATCTGAACAATCCTCCTCCACTCTCAGAATTGTTCATTTCCTACCACCACATTGTTTCCTTATCTCTACACTCCTTGTTCTCTGCACAACATTTGCACCATGATGACAATCATAAATACCATTTATTTCTTCTCTGTGTGAGACAGGCCATTTTGAGAGATGGTAATTCCCAAGTAATAGAAACTCTAGCTCTGCTGGGAGAAAACCTTTGTAACTCCTGAATCCATAGTTGAATGCTTGATATCCTTATTGTTCTACTAAAGCCACCATTTCAGGCTGAAGGATTTCATCACTTGATATATGAAACACCTCCTGTGTGATATGACAGGGAAACATAGCCAGCTTTTGTTACCACTATGTAACACCCCTTAATGAGGTAACCATCAACTTCCAGTTGACAGTTTATGAGACACCCACAAACACCCTCTACATGCTAAAATTCACATATCTGTACATATCATACATAAGACCTTTCTGGATTTTAAATTCAAGTAAGCACAGCTGAACAACTGGTCTTACATTAGACTAACTGATCCCTTAGATGTAATTCAGTTCAATTATCCAGAACTTATGAGTTGTCACAGCCAAGACTCACATCATTTGCTCTGACCTCTGGGCATCCAGCAGTGGTCTATATTAAGGTACTTATCGTATTTTCTGGCATACGAGGTGCACAACAGAATTATGATATGTAACGGTAAATCAGTAACCACATTCAAGGGCTAATTACCCTCTTACTTTATGCTAAAGTGTAACCAAAAGCCTACCCTTGAGCATACAAGGCACAGGGTGATTTTCCAACATTTTTTGCAGAGAAAAAAGGCATGCCTCATATGCCAGAAAATACAGTAAATAACAAAGATATCAACCCCCAGTGCTGTCTCGGTCATGGCATTACCGGATGTGATAGGTTTTTATCATGTTGCACTCATAATGAGGGACAGTAGAAGAAAGACACAGGCAAAGACAAAATAAAAAGACACAAAATGAAAGGCAAACAATGGAGGTGAAGAAAATTTAACACAGCAGCAAGTGGTGCTGCAGCAGTGCGATCTCCCTTTGACAACTTTTCTTTGTCAAAGGGAGAAGGGGAACCCATTGTATGTAGCTGACCCACAGTAGTACTTCCAAAAGTGACCAGGGTCAACTGGTCTGCTACCAAAAAGTTTAGAACATCTATATCATTGTCTATGATTATTTAGAAACAAGCCACCACCACAATAAGTAATTAATTCTTACTGCATCTACATAAAATATGCAAATGTCAATAATTATGATATGCAATAAATCACTGCACTCTTACCATCACCATCCAAGAAAACAATTATAAACACCAAACTAGAATCACACACATTATACAAAACAAAAACGGACACTACACTGACCACAGGGAAACAGAAGGTTCTCCTCACGTTTATTCTGCTTGACTTTCTTTCTGCTCAACTTGCTCCCTCCAGATTGTCTTTTACTAAACCCAGACTTGCCTTACACAATAAAAGATAATTAAGCATTAAAGTGTAACTACAATTAAGCAATCTCTGGCTTCAGTTTAACATTACACTAATGTGACAGAGAGCACAGGTTCCAAGGGGAGTTGTGCATCTTGGCTCTTATATGCTTGTGAGGTGCACAGATTTAAATCTACATACAGTATACACATATTAATGACTTATGAAAACAGTAGAAGTGTGCCGTAAGCTAAAAAATGACTGAATATCATGAGTCAACAATAAACATTGCAATCAAATACTTTACAGTGTTATATTATAGGTTTCTATACAACTTTGTATTTAGAGAACAAATACATATACACACACCTGAGTTTGTTTCTAATGCTTGAAGATTATACACTGTTATGTGGCAGTCGGCAGTAAGAACAATCAGCTGGTCACCATAAACATTTAACAACAGAACCTGTAGAGATATATATATATATAGATATATATATACTTTTTTTTTTTCAACAAGTCGGCCGTCTCCCACCAAGGCAGGGTGACCCAAAAAGAAAGAAAATCCCCAAAAAGAAAATATTTTCATCATCATTCAACACTTTCACCTCACTCACACATAATCTTTGTTTTTGCAGAGGTGCCCAGAACACAACAGTTTAGAAGCATATATGTATAAAGATACACAACATATCCCTCCAAACTGCTAAAATAAATAAATAAATAAATAAATAAATAAATAAATAAATAAATAAATAAATAAATAAATAAATATATATAAATATATACTTCTACTTACACTTAGGTCACACTACACATACATGTACACATTTATTTATACACACTCATCTGAGTTTTCTTTGATTTTATCTTAATAGTTCTTGGTCTTATTAATTTTCCTTTTATATCCATGGGGAAGTGGAATAAGAATCTTTCCTCTGTAAGCCATGCGTTTTGTAAAAGTCAACTAAAATGCCGGGAACAATGGGCTAGTAACCCCTTTTCCTGTAAAGATTACTAAAAAGAATAAGAAGAAGAAAATTGTCAAAGTGGGAAGTCTGAATGTGCGTGGATGTTGTGCAGATGATAAGAAAGAGATGATTGTGGATGTTATGAATGAGAAGAAGCTGGATGTCTTGGCTTTAAGTGAAACAAAGCTGAAGGGGGTGGGAGAGTTTCAGTGGAGAGGAATTAAATGGGATTAGGTCAGGGGTTTCAAATAGAGTTAGAGCTAAAGAAGGAGTAGCAATAATGTTGAAGGATAAGCTAGGGCAGGAAAAGAGGGACTATAAATGTATTAATTCAAGGATTATGTGGAGTAAAATAAAGATTGGATGTGAAAAGTGGGTTATAATAAGCGTGTATGCACCTGGAGAAGAGAGAAGTGTAGAGGAGAGAGAGAGATTTTGGGAAATGTTGAGTGAATGCGTGGGGAGTTTTGAATCAAGTGTGAGAGTAATGGTGGTTGGGGATTTTAATGCTAAAGTGGGTAAAAATGTTATGGAGGGAGTAGTAGGTAAATGTGGGGTGCCAGGGGTAAATGTAAATGGGGAGCCTTTAATTGAGCTATGTGTAGAAAGAAATTTGGTAATAAGTAATACATATTTTATGAAAAAGAGGATAAATAAATATACAAGGTATGATGTAGCACGTAATGAAAGTAGTTTATTAGATTATGTATTGGTGGATAAAAGGTTGATGGGTAGGCTCCAGATGTACATGTTTATAGAGGGGCAACTGATATATCGGATCATTATTTAGTTGTAGCTACATTTAGAGTAAGAGGTAGATGGGAAAAGAGGAAGGTGGCAAAAACAAGTAAGAGGGAGGTGAAAGTGTATAAACTAAGGGAGGAGGAAGTTCGGGTGAGATATAAGCGACTATTGGCAGAAAGGTGGGCTAGTGCAAAGATGAGTAGTGGGGGGTTTGAAGAGGGTTGGAATTTTTTAAAAATGCAGTATTAGAATGTGGGGCAGAAGTTTGTGGTTATAGGAGGGTGGGGGCAGGAGGAAAGAGGAGTGATTGGTGGAATGATGAAGTAAAGGGTGTGATAAAAGAGAAAAAGGTAGTTTATGAGAGGGTTTTTACAAAGCAGAAGTGTTATAAGAAGAGCAGAGTATATGGAGAGTAAAAGAAAGGTAAAGAGAGTGCAAAAGGAGAGCAGATGATAGAGTGGGAGAGGCACTGTCAAGAAATTTTAATGAAAATAAGAAAAAATTTTGGAGTGAGTTAAACAAGTTAAGAAAGCCTAGGGAAAATATGGATTTGTCAGTTAAAAAAACAGAGTAGGGGAGTTAGTAGATGGGGAGATGGAGGTATTGGTAGATGCGAGAATATTTTGAGGAACTTTTAAATGTTAAGGAAGAAACAGAGGCAGTAATTTCATGCACTGGTCAGGAGGTATACCATCTTTAGGAGTGAAGAAGAGCAGAATGTAAGTGTGGGGGAGGTACGTGAGGCATACGTAAAATGAAAGGGGGTAAAGCAGCTGGAACTGATGGGATCATGACAGAAATGTTAAAAGCAGGGGGGGATATAGTGTTGGAGTGGTTGGTACTTTTGTTTAATAAATGTATGAAAGAGGGGAAGGTACCTAGGGATTGGCAGAGAGCATGTATAGTCCCTTTATATAAAGGGAAAGGGGACAAAAGAGACTGTAAAAATTATAGAGGAATAAGCTTAAGAGTATACCAGGAAAAGTGTACAGTAGGGTTATAATTGAAAGAATTAGAGGTAAGACAGAATGTAGGATTGCGGATGAGCAAGGAGGTTTTAGAGTGGGTAGGGGATGTGTAGATCAGGTGTTTACATTGAAGCATATATGTGAACAGTATTTAGATAAAGATAGGGAAGTTTTTATTGCATTTATGGATTTAGAAAAGGCATATGATAGAGTGGATAGAGGAGCAATGTGGCAGATGTTGCAAGTATATGGAATAGGTGGTAAGTTATTAAATGCTGTAAAGAGTTTTTTATGAGGATAGTGAGGCTCAGGTTAGGGTGTGTAGAAGAGAGGGAGACTACTTCCCGGTAAAAGTAGGTCTTAGACAGGGATGTGTAATGTCACCATGGTTGTTTAATATATTTATAGATGGGGTTGTAAAGGAAGTAAATGCTAGGGTGTTGGGAGAGGGGTGGGATTAAATTATGGGAATCAAATTCAAAATGGGAATTGACACAGTTACTTTTTGCTGATGATACTGTGCTTATGGGAATTCTAAAGAAAAATTGCAAAGGTTAGTGGATGAGTTTGGGAATGTGTGTAAAGGTAGAAAGTTGAAAGTGAACATAGAAAAGAGTAAGGTGATGAGGGTGTCAAATGATTTAGATAAAGAAAAATTGGATATCAAATTGGGGAGGAGGAGTATGGAAGAAGTGAATGTTTTCAGATACTTGGGAGTTGACGTGTCGGCGGATGGATTTATGAAGGATGAGGTTAATCATAGAATTGATGAGGAAAAAAGGTGAGTGGTGCGTTGAGGTATATGTGGAGTCAAAAAACGTTATCTATGGAGGCAAAGAAGGGAATGTATGAAAGTATAGTAGTACCAACACTCTTATATGGGTGTGAAGCTTGGGTGGTAAATGCAGCAGCGAGGAGACGGTTGGAGGCAGCGGAGATGTCCTGTTTAAGGGCAATGTGTGGTGTAAATATTATGCAGAAAATTCGGAGTGTGGAAATTAGGAGAAGGTGTGGAGTTAATAAAAGTATTAGTCAGAGGGCAGAAGAGGGGTTGTTGAGGTGGTTTGGTCATTTAGAGAGAATGGATCACAGTAGAATGACATGGAAAGCATATAAATCTATAGGGAAAGGAAGGGGGGGTAGGGGTCGTCCCCAAAAGGGTTGGGGAGAGAGGGGGTTAAAGGAGGTTTTGTGGGTAAGGGGCTTGGACTTCCAGCAAGCGTGCGTGAGCGTGTTAGATAGGAGTGAATGGAGACGAATGGTACTTGGGACCTGACGATCTGTTGGAGTGTGAGCAGGGTAATATTTATGAAGGGATTCAGGAAACCGGTTATTTTCATATAGTCGGACTTGAGTCCTGGAAATGGGAAGTACAATGCCTGCACTTTAAAGGAGGGGTTTGGAGTATTGGCAGTTTGGAGGATATGTTGTGTATCTTTATATGTGTATGCTTCTAGATGTTGTATTCTGAGCACCTCTGCAAAAACAGTGATAATGTGCGAGTGTGGTGAAAGTGTTGAATGATGATGAAAGTATTTTCTTTTTGGGGATTTTCTTTCTTTTTTGGGTCACCCTGCTCGGTGGGAGACGGCCGACTTGTTGAGAAAAAAAAAAAAAAATATATATATATATATATTATATATATAATATTACATATAATATATATTATATATATATATATTATATATATATATATATATATATATTATATATATATTATATATTTTGGAGTGGTTGGTGCAATTTTTTAAATAAATTTTAGGGAAGAGGGAAAGGTACCCTGGGGATTGGAAAGGGAGCTGCATGTTCTTTGTATAAAGGAAAGGGGATAAAAAGGTGCAAAAAATTATAGGGGGTAAGTCGTTGGTGTACCTGGTAAAGTGTATGGTAGATTAAAATGAAAAAATTAAAGAGTAGAGGGGAAAAATAGGATAGCAGATGAAAAAAGGAGGCTTTGGGAAAAAGGTAGGGGGTGTGTGGAAACCCAGGGTTTACAGGGAAAAATATAAGTGAACAGTTTTTAGAAAAAGGCTAAAGAGGTCTTTGTGGCATTTAGGATTTGGAAAAGGCATATGCGGGTGGATGGGGGGGGGAAATGTGGGAGTTGAAAAAGTGTAGGGTTTGTAGGAGGTAGGTTACTGAAAGAAAGTGAAGAGTTTTTACGAGGATAGGGGTCAAGTTAGAGTATGTAGAAAAGAGGGAAAATTTTTTCCCCGTAAAAAAATAGGCCTTAGAAGGATGTGTGATGTCACCGTGGTTGTTTAAAATATTTTAGTGGGTTGTAAGAGAAGTAAAAGCGAGGGGGCTTGGCAAGAGGCGTGGAGTTTAAAAGATAAAGAATCACACACAGGGTGGGAGTTGTCACAGCTGCTCTTTGCTGATGACACTGTGCTCTTGGGAGATTCTGAAGAGAAGCTGCAGAGATTGGTGGATGAATTTGGTAGGGTGTGCAAAAGAAGAAAATTAAAGGTGAATACAGGAAAGAGTAAGGTTATGAGGATAACAAAAAGATTAGGTGATGAAAGATTGAATATCAGATTGGAGGGAGAGAGTATGGAGGAGGTGAACGTATTCAGATATTTGGGAGTGGACGTGTCAGCGGATGGGTCTATGAAAGATGAGGTGAATCATAGAATTGATGAGGGAAAAAAGAGTGAGTGGTGCACTTAGGAGTCTGTGGAGACAGAGAACTTTGTCCTTGGAGGCAAAGAGGGGAATGTATGAGAGTATAGTTTTACCAACGCTCTTATATGGGTGTGAAGCATGGGTGATGAATGTTGCAGCGAGGAGAAGGCTGGAGGCAGTGGAGATGTCATGTCTGAGGGCAATGTGTGGTGTGAATATAATGCAGAGAATTCGTAGTTTGGAAGTTAGGAGGAGGTGCGGGATTACCAAACTGTTGTCCAGAGGGCTGAGGAAGGGTTGTTGAGGTGGTTCGGACATGTAGAGAGAATGGAGCGAAACAGAATAACTTCAAGAGTGTATCAGTCTGTAGTGGAAGGAAGGCGGGGGTAGGGGTCGGCCTAGGAAGGGTTGGAGGGAGGGGGTAAAGGAGGTTTTGTGTGCAAGGGGCTTGGACTTCCAGCAGGCATGCATGAGCGTGTTTGATAGGAGTGAATGGAGACAAATGGTTTTTAATACTTGACGTGCTGTTGGAGTGTGAGCAAAGTAACATTTATGAAGGGATTCAGGGAAACCGGCAGGCCGGACTTGAGTCCTGGAGATGGGAAGTACAGTGCCTGCACTCTGAAGGAGGGGTGTTAATGTTGCAGTTTAAAAACTGTAGTGTAAAGCACCCTTCTGGCAAGACAGTGATGGAGTGAATGATGGTGAAAGTTTTTCTTTTTCGGGCCACCCTGCCTTGGTGGGAATCGGCCAGTGTGATAATAAAAAAAAATAAATATATTTTTTTTTTTTTTTTTTTCAACAAGTCGGCCGTCTCCCACCGAGGCAGGGTGACCCAAAAAAAAAGAAAGAAAATCCCCAAAAAGAAAATACTTTCATCATCATTCAACACTTTCACCACACTCGCACATTATCACTGTTTTTGCAGAGGTGCTCAGAATACAACAGTCTAGAAGCATACACATATAAAGATACACAACATATCCCTCCAAACTGCCAATATCCCAAACCCCTCCTTTAAAGTGCAGGCATTGTACTTCCCATTTCCAGGACTCAAGTCCGACTATATGAAAATAACCGGTTTCCCTGAATCCCTTCACTAAATATTACCTGCTCACACTCCAACAGATCGTCAGGTCCCAAGTACCATTCGTCTCCATTCACTCCTATCTAACACGCTCACGCACGCTTGCTGGAAGTCCAAGCCCCTTGCCCACAAAACCTCCTTTACCCCCTCTCTCCAACCCTTTCGAGGACGACCCCTACCCCGCCTTCCTTCCCCTATAGTTTTATATGCTTTCCATGTCATTCTACTTTGATCCATTCTCTCTAAATGACCAAACCACCTCAACAACCCCTCTTCTGCCCTCTGACTAATACTTTTATTAACTCCACACCTTCTCCTAATTTCCACACTCCGAATTTTCTGCATAATATTTACACCACACATTGTGGGCAAGGGGCTTGGACTTCCAGCAAGCGTGCGTGAGCGCGTTAGATAGGAGTGAATGGAGACGAATGGTACTTGACCTGACGATCTGTTGGAGTGTGAGCAGGGTAATATTTAGTGAAGGGATTCAGGGAAACCGGTTACTATTTTCATATAGTCGGACTTGAGTCCTGGAAATGGGAAGTACAATACCTTCACTTTAAAGGAGGGGTTTGGGATATTGGCAGTTTGGAGGGATATGTTGTGTATCTTTATACATATATGCTTCTAAACTGTTGTATTCTGAGCACCTCTGCAAAAACAGTGATAATGTGTGAGTGTGGTGAAAGTGTTGAATGATGATGAAAATATTTTCTTTTTGGGGATTTTCTTTCTTTTTTGGGTCACCCTGCCTCGGTGGAGACGGCCGACTTGTAAAAAAAAAAAAAAAAAAATTATATATATATATATATATATAACCTAGGTAGTAGGTTGGTAGACAGCAACCACCAAGGGAGGTACTACCGTCCTGCCGAGTGTAAAACGAATGCCTGTAATTGTTTTACATCAGTGGTATTCATTGCGAGGCTCGCGAGCCGCCAATAACAAGATATGCAAGCTAATATTACCATGTCTAATTTTTCTCATTTACTATATTTTACTAGCAGCTCAGTACTACTTAATTTAGTTGAGTTACGCTAACTTGCAGTAGCTGCGGCTCTCTCAATCAATGTGTTTAACCGAAGTGGCTCTCTTGCAAAAATTAGTGAATAACACTGTTTTACATGATGGTAGGATTGCTGGTGTCCTTTTTTCTGTCTCATGAACATGCAAGATTTCAGGTATGTCTTGCTACTTCTACTTACACTTAGGTCACACTACACATACATGTACAAGCATATATATACATACCCCTCTGGGTTTTCTTCTATTTTCTTTCTAGTTCTTGTTCTTGTTTGTTTCCTCTTATCTCCATGGGGAAGTGGAACAGAATTCTTCCTCTGTAAGCCAAGCATGTTGTAAGAGGCGACTAAAATGCTGGGAGCAAGGGGCTAGTAACCTCTTCTCCTGTATATATTACTAAATTTGAAAGGAGAAACTTTCGTTTTTCCTTTTGGGCCACCCCGCCTCGGTGGGATACAGCCGGTGTGTTGAAAGAAAGAATATATATATAAATATTTTTTACATGATAGTAGGACTGCTGGTGTCCTTTTTTTCCGTTTCATGAACATGCAAGATTTCAGGTACGTCTTGCTAATTCTGCTTACACTTAGGTCACACTACACATACATGTACAGGCACATATATACATACCCCTCTGGGTTTTCTTCTATTTTCTTTCTAGTTCTTGTTCTTGTTTGTTTCCTCTTATCTCCATGGGGAAGTGGAACAGAATTCTCCCTCTGTAAGCCAAGTGTGTTGTAAGAGGCGACTAAAATGCCGGGAGCAAGGGGCTGGTAACCTCTTCTGCTGTATATATTACTAAATGTAAAAGAAGAAACTTTCGTTTTTCCTTTTGGGCCACCCCGCCTCGGTGGGATACAGCCAGTGTGTTGAAAGAAAGAAAGAATATATATACATAAATATTTTTTACATGATGGTAGGATTGCTGGTGTCTTTTGTCTGTCTCATAAACATGCAAGATTTCAGGTACGTCTTGCTACTTCTACCTGCACTTAGGTCACACTACACATACATATACAAGCATATATTTACACACACCCCTCTGGGTTTTCTTCTATTTTCTTTCTAGTTCTTGTTCTTGTTTATTTCCTCTTACTTCCATGGGGTAGTGGAAGAGAATTCTTCCTCCGTAAGCCATGTGTGTTGTAAGAGGCGACTAAAAATGCCGGGAGCAAGGGGCTAGTAACCCCTTCTCCTGTATATATTACTAAATGTAAAAGGAGAAACTTTCATTTTTCCTTTTGGGCCACCCTGCCTCGGTGCGATACAGCCGGTGTGTTGAAAGAAGAAGAAAGAATATAAATATTTAACAATTAGCCACAAAAGAGACATCCTCCTACTATCTGCTACTGCAATCTGCTTTATATTAGGTGTTATATACCGAATTAAGGGTGAGAATAATTTCCATAGGCAGGCAGAAAGAAATGGTCCTGGAGATGGGAAGAGTTGTGCCTATACTCCAAAGGAGGGGTGGGGATGCTGCAGTCAGGGGGTCATCTAAACTGTAATATCTATACATTTTCTTGCAGAACATCTGTAGAATGAATGATGGTTCACAAGTTTCCTTTTCTGTCACTCTACCATGGTAGGACATGGCAAGTGACAAAAAGAAAAATATTTATTGTGTTATACTCTACTAATATAACAACAACAAAAATTCTACATTATTTAAAATTTAATGATACTTTGGTACTGTAAAAATATTTTTTATTACAATTCTATTAAATAGCTGTTAGCTTACGACTTCCTAAAACACTCACTGTATCATAAGTTTTGCAAAAAACTGCTAAATCAATTTTATCATTAATTTCACATGCCCAAGTAAAGGATTTGTAATAAATTTCTTATGATGAGCCTGGTAAAATAAAGCCTAATAAGCTATCATGAGAAGGTTCTATTGCCTCATAGCAACACAGTACAGTATCTTTTATTATACTAATTTCCAAATAAAACAAGTTCATAGGGGTTTTCTTGAAATACTGTAGCAGGAAATTAATGATACGAACCCATGAAGCAACTCATGGAAAATGCATATATTACTGTAACCAACTGTTTTTCTTTCTGTTTCAGTTATCATTAAGTACAAGAATGATATTTACACTGCAGGATTTACTTTCACAAGTTTTTAAAGAACACTGTACATTCAAAATCATCTTGATACACTGGAAGAGCTACAAGTCAACACGTAGCATACAGTAGATGACATATCAAAAAGAGATATTAAAACAAGTGTTCAGTATCATGTTTCATTGTGCACACTTGAATATTCTCTTTGTACATCCTGTATAAAACATGTATAACATAGCAGCTACCAAAAAGTTTTCATGTTAAAACCAATAAATTTTTAAGAAAAATTGCATACCTGTGCAGGTTGTGGGACAGTAGTAACAAAGAGGTTATCCAGCTTGTGATCACGAGGATAAAGTCTAAGTTCATCTGTATTAGCAGGGATATTGTAAGCTCCAAGTACCAGCCAGTTTGACTGCCACCACAATAAACCCCCTGTTACCACAAAATCACGTTCTTGACTCTCATTGCCAAAGAGATGCCATCGTCGCAGCCGTAATGAATAGTGAGCAACACCATTGCGGCCAGCAATGCCCACAAGCTCACCACACTCATCTACACAGGTGTACTAAAATAGTAAAAGAGAATACGTAGAGAACATTAAAACATGCACATGTAAAAGAAAATCTGGTGAATATTTGGAAAGATATTAAAAAATCTTCAAATACTGTACAAAGATGATTACCTAAGAATCTAACACGATGAACAAAAATATATGGGACTTAGAAAAGCTGCTATGAGGCTTGCAAGTGGTAGACATGGCACATGAGTATGGAGTAAAATCATTGGTTATATGTACAAGAAAAAGTTAGCATCTTTTATAAGACTGTGCGAAGTGCTAGTGACAGTGAAGCAATTGAAAGACAATTATGAGGTCTGTGCCGATCAATAAGCAAGAATTGTTGAATATGTAGCGTATGAACTGGGGGTAAAGGAGGTTTTGTGTGTGAGGAGCCTGGATTTCCAGCGTGTGTAAGCGTGTTAGATAGGAGCAAATGGAGACAAGCGGTTTTTAGGACTTGATGTGCTATTGGAGTGTAAGGAAGGAAGGTAACATTTATGAAGGGATTTAGGGAAACCGGCAGGCCGGACTTGATTCCTGGAGATGGGAAGTACAGTGCCTGCACTCTGAAGGAGGGGTGTTAATGTTGCAGTTTTATAACTGTAATGTAAGCATGCCTCTGGCAAGACAGTGATAGTATGAATGATGATGAAAGTTTTTCTTTTTTTAGGCCACTCTGCCTTGGTGGGAAACAGCTGATGTATTAATAAATTAATAAAATAATTATATTTTCCTTGCTATCACTCGAACTTTAACTTTATGCTCTGCAGTTCCCTCTAGTACATTACCTTGTTCATCCTCACTACTAGTTTCAAACAAAAGTATTGGAATCTTCATTTTTTCTTCATAATACTATCCTGTATGTGTAAAAGTACCCTGGCATGTCACATAAGAGTACAAGCTTAAATTTGTAGCTTGTCATCAGATGATACCACAATTTGTAAATCCCTCAAAGTATTCGTCACTAGAAAATTCTTTAGTTTCACTATCTCTCTTGAATGTCTGAAATTATGTTTAGTTTTTCCTTAACAAGACATTCTGGCATTTTTGGCCCAAGAAGATCACTGATTGCAAAATACATTATGCCAGGAAAATTCAAAATGTGCCCAGAAAAATTAAATCATAGAACTACATCATAAACAATACAGGTAAGCACACAGCCACAGATCTATGTCAGAAACAGTTTAGGGGTTAAAACAATCTGATGTATTAATAAATTAATAAAAGCTTAAATTTGTAGCTTGTCATCAGATGATACCACAATTTGTAAATCCCTCAAAGTATTCGTCACTAGAAAATTCTTTAGTTTCACTATCTCTCTTGAATGTCTGAAATTATGTTTAGTTTTTCCTTAACAAGACATTATGTTTCTGTCCATAAAGGTCTCAAGCTGCTTTTTTTTTTTTTTTCAGGAAGTCATTCTGGCATTTTTGGCCCAAGAAGATCACTGATTGCAAAATACATTATGCCAGGAAAATTCAAAATGTGCCCAGAAAAATTAAATCATAGAACTACATCATAAACAATACAGGTAAGCACACAGCCACAGATCTATGTCAGAAACAGTTTAGGGGTTAAAACAATCTGAGAAGAGAGAGACCTAGGAGTTATCAATGACTAAAAATTGTAACCAGATGATCACATGAGTGAAACACTAACCAACTACAAAATAACAACTTAGATTCATAATAAAAAAAAATGCTGAAAAAGCTTTTCACAACACAAGTTCAACAAAACTAGGAATATGTAGCAGTGGTATAGTGTACACTTTTTTTTTTTTCAACAAGTCGGCCGTCCCCACCGAGGCAGGGTGACCCAAAAAGAAAGAAAATTCCCCAAAGAAAATACTTTTCATCATCATTCAACACTTTTCACCTCACTCACACATAATCACTGTTTTTGCAGAGGTGCCCAGAATACAACAGTTCAGAAGTACGTTACATATGTATAAACATACACTATATCCCTCCAAACTGCCAATATCCCAAACCCCTCCTTTAAAGTGCAGGCATTGTACGTCTCATTTCCAGACTCAAGTCCAGTTACTAAAATAACCGGTTTCCCTGAATCCCTTCACTAAATATTACCCTGCTCACACTCCAACAGCTCGTCAGGCCCCAAATACCATTTGTCTCCATTCACTCCAATCTAACATGCTCACGCATGCTTGCTGGAAGTCAAAACCCCTCGCCCACAACACCTCCTTTACCGCCCTCCCTCCCAACCTTTTTGAGGACGACCAATAACCTGCCTTCCTTCCCCTACAGGTTTATACGCTCTCCATGTCATTCTACTTTGATCCATTTCCTCTAAATGACCAAACTATCTCAACAAACCCTCTTCAGCCCTCTGACTAATACAGTGGACCCCCGCTTTACGATCACCTCCCAATGCGACCAATTATGTAAGTGTATTTATGTAAGTGCGTTTGTATGTGTATGTTTGGGGGTCTGAAATGGACTAATCTAATTCACAATTTTCCTTATGGGAACAAATTCGGTCAGTACTGGCACCTGAGCATACTTCTGGAATGGAAAAATATCGTAAACCGGGAGCTGTGACTCGACCCCTGCAACCACAAATGGGTGAGTACATTGCCCTTAGACCAGGACATCTCCACTGCCTCAACTGCGGCCGCGCAGCATTACAACCCAAGGCTTCACACCCTATAAAGTGTTGGTACTACTATACTTTCATACATTCCCTTCCTTGCCTCCATGATAACATTTTTTGCCTCCACATATACCTCAATGCCACTCACCTTTTTTCATCACAACTCTTGATTAACCTATCCTTCAAAATCCATGCCCCATAAACGTCAACTCCAAATTTCTGAACCATTCACTCTTCTCATACTCCTCCCAATTTGATATCCAATTTTTCTTTATCTAAATTATTTGATAACCTCATCACCTTACTCTTTTCTATGTTCACTTTCAACTTTCTACCTTTACACACACTCCCAAATTCGTCCACTAACCTTTGCAATTTTTCTTGAGAATCTCCCATAAGCACAACATCAACAAAAAGTAACTGTGTCACTTCCCATTTTGTATTTAACCCCTTGACTGTCGCAACCCCCAATCCTGAGGTGTCTTCGGGTGTCGCAAAATTTAAAAAAAAAAAAATTATTTTTTTTATGAAATGATAGAGAATCTTTTCCCGATTGTAAGGACACCAAAAAAACGAAATTTGATGGAAAACTGATGGAATTAAGGTCTCGCGAAGTTATCGACCACGGCGATATTTATAAATCAGCAATTTCGCCCACTTTGAGCCCTATTTTCGGCTAATTCCGTTGTTCCAGTCGACCAAACTCATAGCTATTTCTTTAGAACTCCATTTTTTCTATCGATTGAGTACAAGAAACTGCCCATTTACCGATTTCAACTACTCAATAATGTGGTCAGAAACTTGCAATTTGGCCAATTTCACGAAAATTAAAAAATATGACAATTTCAGGTTACCTGGAGGTTATTCCGGGGATCAACGCCCCCGCGGCCCGGTCCACGACCAGGCCTCCCGATGGATCAGGGCCTGATCAACTAGGCTGTTACTGCTGGCCGCACGCAGTCCGACGTACGAGCCACAGCCCGGCTGATCCGGCACCGACTTTAGGTATCTGTCCAGCTCTCTCTTGGAGGCAGCCAGGGGTTTATTGGCAATTCCCCTAATGCTTGATGGGAGGCTGTTGAACAGTTTTGGGCCCCGGACACTTATGGTGTTTTCTCTTAGTGTACCAATGGCGCCCCTACTTTTTATTGGCGGCATTTTGCATCGCCTGCCCAGTCTTTTACTTTCGTAGGGAGTGATTTCTGTGTGCAGATTTGGGACCATTCCTTCCAAGATTTTCCAAGTGTAGATTATGATATATCTCTCCCTCCTGCGTTCCAACGAGTACAAGTCAAGTGCTTCCAAGCGTTTCCCAGTAGTTAAGGTGCTTGACAGAACTTATACGTGCAGTAAAGGATCTCTGTACACTCTCTAGATCTGCGATTTCACCTGCTTTGTATGGAGATGTTAATGTACAGCAGTATTCCAGCCTAGAGAGAACAAGTGATTTGAAAAGGATCATCATGGGCTTGGCATCTCTCGTTTTGAAAGTTCTCATTATCCATCCTATCATTTTCTTTGCATGTGCGATCGTGGCACTGTTGTGATCCTTGAAAGTGAGATCCTCAGACATTACTACTCCCAGGTCCCTTACATTATTTTTCCGCTCTATTGTATGGCCGGAGTCAGTAGTATACTCTGTTCTAGTTATTATCTCCTCCAGGTAGTAGGTTGGTAGACAGCAACCACCCAGGGAAGTACTACCGTCCTGCCAGATGACTGTGAAACAGAAACCTGTAACTGTTTTGCATGATGGTAGGATTGCTGGTTTCTTTTTATGTCTCATAAACACGCTAGATAACAGGGATATCTTGCTACTCCTACTTACACTTTGGTCACACTTCACAGACACGCACATGCATATACAGTGGACCCCCGCATACCGTTGGCATCACATAACGATTAATCCGCATACCGCTTGCTTTAATCGCAAAAATTTTGCCTCGCATACCGCTTAAAAACCCGCTCACCGCTGTTCGTCCGAGACGCGTCCAATGTGCGCCCTCAGCCAGCCTCACATGTGCCGCCCGTGCCATTGTTTACTAGCCAGCCTCCGCGGTAACATCCAAGCATACAATCGGAATATTTCGTATTATTACAGTGTTTTCGGTGCTTTATTGGAAAATAAGTGACCATGGGCCCCAAGAAAGCTTCTAGTGCCAACCCTACAGCAATAAGGGTGAGAATTCCAATAGAGATGAAGAAAGAGATCATTGATAAGTATGAAAGTGGAGTGCGTATCGCCGACCTGGCCAGGTTGTACAAGAAACCCCAATCAACCATCGCTACTATTGTGGGTACCAGAAAGGCAATCAAGGAAGCTGTTCTTGCCAAAGGTTTAACTGTGTTTTCGAAACAAAGATCGCAAGTGATGGAAGATGTTGAGAGACTCT